CAGCTTTGACGTCCGTTATCCCCAATATCAAGAACATCACAATTTTTGTGGCTATTACCCTTTATCGAGTACATCACCAAATGTTATCAGTATCCAAATTCTTATCACAAATATTCTCATCATTAATATTTGTTTTCGGCTGTGTTATAAACATGTCGTCTCCACTTAAAGATATCTTGCTAAATGAATATTTTGGACTATCTGTGTATGCTTGCATTATATGACTGGAGTGATTTGTCATGTGCATGTTGTTTTAAGAATATATCCATTATTTTGTGGCTTACTCTTTTAGAAAACTATCCGTTATTTGTATCTCTATGGTGCTATGTTTTAAGTTTGATAATAGCCTCAGACTGTCCATTATGTAAATACAAAGAAAAACTTCGGGGCTAACGCCCCTCAGTTGTTCTTTCTTATATTTACATAATGGACAGTCTTCGACCATTATCCATCACATAATACAACCGTCCTAATGCTAGGTGACAAGTGTGAAGTTAGCTCGATTTTCGGTTTCGATATTGGTGAATATCGAAAAGCAACTAGCTCGTTTTTCGATATTCAAACTTAAATCTCAAAAAAAGCAGATTTGATGGATGCACAGCTACAAAATGTCCACAAAATGTGATACTACGGTGTCCTTAAATAGATGAATTATGAATTACTTCCACGTTGTGTATATAGCCAGTGACACTAGGGTAACACTTATCTAGTCAGGCCATTCATGCTTCATATACAACCTCAATTATTAATTGACTCCGGAACACTGTCTTGTGTTGTTATAACTATGTTTATATATGAAATACAGGGAACTACAAAATCTTTAATAGTACAACATCTACACCCTGAGTTTAACAAGCCTAGAACTCAGACCTAACGGCTGAAACACTATATATTGTCTCTATCCCGGACCCTAAGCCAAGGCAGCTGTACGTCCCTCAGGGAACGACAATGATGTCCTCCCTGGGAACACCAAATGATGTCTTCTCTAGGGTCTCGGAATTACGTCTGAAGGGAAATTTAACCTCTCTTTTTCTTATATATATATGGTACGTTCGATTACTTGCGCCGCGCTTACGCGAGCCTCCATGAGTGCGTTCGGGTTACCGATGACGTCATTTAAACGGCTTACTCGCGCCGTTTAAATTTTAATAATAATAATTAATAATAACAAAATTTATATTTTGCAACAATTCATCCCACTTGGGAATGCTCTAGGACCATGAAAGTGTTCACATGGGTCAATTATAGTGCCTAAACAGCCAGGTTTTCACACTTGATTTGAAGACAGACAATGTTTCACATGTTCGAATGGAAGGTGGCAGTGAATTCCATAGAATTGATGCATTATACTGAAAGGTCCTTGAACCAAATTTATTCATCTTATAAACCGGTACATCTAACAATAATTTATTCTGGGATCTCAGTGACCTGTTTCGTTGGTAGTGTGTCAAGAGATTCTGAAGATATCTTGGTGCTGTTTTATTTAATGGTTTTTTTTATGTCAGAGTTAAAATTTTAAAGTTAATCCTCTTGTGCACTCGGAGCCAATGAAGATTATTTAAGATGTGTGATTTTGATCTAGCTTAAATCACAATTCGTGCAGCACGATTTTGGATCCTTGCAACTTGGAAATTTGTTCATCATTTATTCCAGAAAGTACGGCATTGCAGTAGTCAATTCTGGACAGCACGAATGATCGAGCCAGTGCAGCGGCTGCACCTTCGGGTATCAGATGACGGATTGATCCTATTCTTCGAAGATGAAAATGGTAAATTTTGCAGATATTGTTTATATGAGTATTGAATCTAAGGACACACCAAGATTTTTTACAACATTTGATATCGGAATATCTGAATTGCCTATTGAGAGATTTCACAATGCAGGTACTAAGTCTGTGATCAGGTCCAATAAGGAGAAGCTCAGTTTTAAGCACCCCTGGGGGCTACTTTAAGGTGTGTTGCTATACGCTCCAGTAGTGCCCGATCTGACCAATTGATTTTTACTCGTACGGACACCTGCTACCAATTTGGAGGGGGGGGGGCAAACCTTTTGTAATTGATGACCATATTCTACAACTATGAAATCTGGTAACTGGTAAACTGCGATTCAAATAAACTGTGATTCACTACCATAAAGAAATAACAACATATAAACTAACTATTCATACATTAGTTATTCATATTATCTAACAATTCAAACATGTACCATATAATTATAACACAGCATATTCAACTGTTCCTTCTACTAGTTTCGATTTTTTACGTAATGACTTTAACTGTAGTTGTCTCCCTTGAATAAATTTAAGTAAGCTGGACCTCGCACAAGGTACCACATGTGATGGGCAATTAGAGCAACAAACTACAACCCATTTATTAATTATCATTGTTTACGATAAAAACTAAATGAAAATAAGATCTACAAATGATTCTCTAAATCTACTTACGATTAATGCTGCTAATGTCAGTAAGTCTTACAAAATCTACTAAGTTTTCAGGACAACTTAAAAAAAAGGTTCTAAGGAATTCTACAAAAGAATTATAGGAATTGAGGGAATCATTTAATATATTCATGTAAATTTTAGCCTGTGATAACAAAAACATTAACATGGAAATCATTTCAACAATGATGTAAAGGTGATATATTTGAACGGTTTTTAAAATCGATAAAAATTGTGACCTCTAGTCGAGGGTCCACAAGCTAATCGATTTTTCATACAATCAGGGGCCATAATCCAAGAAGTTACGATCCAAAATGTGTGAATATCCAAAGAAGTGAGATCTTTGGGATATAAACATGTATTTTAAGTTTCATCAAAATCGAATAAAAATTGTGACCTCTAGAGAATCCACAATCTTAGTGTAAAAGTATGTAATGCCATTTGCGTACAAGGAGCGACAATTTTATCGAGAAGTTTCAGTCAGATTTTCACGAAATTCAAACTCAACGATCATTAGGATGTATGTGACAAAGTGCTTAATTTTCTATTTTATAAAATACAAACAATTATTTAGATGCAGTGAACTTATTGATCCCAGCTGGTTTTGATAATACATGTAGATGATATTGGCTTTTCAACTATACACTTTGTTCTAAACACGTACGCACTAATTAACGACTATCAATTCCACATGTATATATTTATATCAGTCAGCGAAATTTGATAACTTGTAAATACCATATATAGTAATGATTTCGTGTGTGTAGACCCATTTGAAAGGTATATAACCACCAGTTTACTTACAGTAAAAGAGACGCAGAAGAGAGACGAACGGGGAGGAGCAGAGACCAGCGAATGGGCTCACCCGAGTTCAGCCGCTGCCGAGACAGAAGGGCGTAATGTACCGTGTTGATGTTTGATTTATGTTCGTGTGTATTTATGTTCCTGTTTCCGATGTAAATAAATTTTGACTAAAGTAAAATAGTGTTACATGTACGATTTATTTTTCGTTCAATCAGGGACCATATGTAACACTATCCTGTGTCGCGGAACCAAAAAGACTAAACTGTGACACTACTGTGTGTCGTTAAATAAATAAATTATGAATTCCTTCCACATTGTGGATACGGCCCGTGACACTAGGGTGACACTATCGTCTAGGACTTTCTTTGACTTCACGTTGTGATAACTTTTTCCAATGATCAATAACTCTAAAAACACAGTTTATGTTGCTCCTCTATTTATATATCAAATACAGCAAACTACAAAGGTTAAATAAAGGAAACTAAAATATCTATGATAGTACTTTTCGAGTTATTAAAATATCGACGGTCTGAGTTTAATATCTGTTTTATCTCAGACTATAACGGCTGAAACATGACAAGAGCCACACACCTAATGTTAGTTCTACATGATGTTCTCGCTATGATGTCTTCGACCAAGCCTCTAAGCCGAGGGGGCTATGGGTATGTTCCCCTTGAGCTCCGAATAATGTCTGGACTGAAATTAAACTCGTATCATCATATAAAGATGATACGCGCATGAGTCAGTACTGAGCCCCGGAAAATTGACCAGGTACGTCCTTTATCTGATTGGTCAGATGCACAGACGCAACCCTGGATTTAAACACAGTGTACTTATATGGGTACCTAGGATGGCGGCTAACCACGTTTCTAACACATGGGATTACCATATTTATTTTAGCAGACTATGATGCCATTGCCCGATTTTTAACTACCAGACATATTCTTGCCTAGTTCTCACTGGTACTAGCTAAAATACATTAACAAAAGCATTTTACAGAACTTAAATAAACGCTACTGTATATAGACCCTATAGTATTATACATATAATCCAGTAAAATACAGTCCAATTTGCGCGAATGTCGAAAAGAACCGAGATGTTTGGGATATAAACTTACATCTTAAGTTTCAACAAAATCGGATTGAAATTCTGACTTCTAGCGGGTCCATTATTTCGTACAATCAGGTGCCATAATCAAAAAGTTACAGTCCGATTAGTGCAAATATCGAATCAACCGAGATCTTTGGTTATAGATATATATTTCATCAAGTGAACTCTAGAGTGTCCACAAGCTAAAAATCAGGGGCCATAATCCATGAAGTGGGGGTCCGATACATGACAGTATCGACAGGAACCGCAATTTTTGGGAGTTTTAAGTTTCCTCAAAATCGGATAGTGCCCACATACAAATTATGGACGGACGTTCAGACGTGCGGAAGGATAGGGGCGACGACAATATAAAATTATTCAGTCGTTTTAGGCGATCCCTCTTAACTTAAATTGAAGTTCTTTACTGGCTAGAAAATGATTGTCCACTACACAGACACCAGTTCGTAGATATCCCGAGAATGGTATGGTTTCATGTCTGTAGAATCTGTCCATCACACAGAATCCAGTCGTAGATATCTCGAGTATGGTATGGTTTCATGTCTGTAGAATCTGTCCATCACACAGAATCCAGTCGTAGATATCTCGAGTATGGTGTACAGAAGTAGGTATATGTACATAACTAATAGTCTGTATTTATATGTTTTTTTAGTGATGTTGACATAATAACGGCTACAGGATATAGTCAAACAGAGAATTAAGATGGATGAATATAGGTTCGTATATTTAATATATTATATACACTCAGTGGTTTGCCCTCTGTTTGCCCCCCCCCCCCCCAATAATTTTAGAAAATAAAAAAAAGTATTTGTGATACGTTTCGGTAATCAATACCTTCTACGGTGAATAAATCCCACATCCCCACTCAGTCATAAACTTGCATGTTGGAGAGCATTTCCGACAGTCTATTTTTCAAAATTTTCTAGTCGAGGTCCCCAATGGACTCGCTACTTCGGCGCTCACAAGGGGAATTCGTTGAGGTTCGCAAGTCCGTTCGTTTAACATTTTGTTCTCTAGTCGGATAAACTACTGCACAGGCGATGAACAGTATCTGGGCAGATCTATTTATCTCGACGATCGGTGCCTGACAGAATACTGTAAGACAGCATTTCCGGCAGTCTATTTTTCAAAATTTTCTGGGGGAGGACTCCCTACTTTGACGCGCGTGAGTGGGCTTTGGTGATTCGCAAGTCAGTTCGTTTGACACTTTACCTCATCGATCAGTGCCTGAAATACTGCCAGGGTGCATTTCCGGCAACCTGTTTTTCAAAATTTTCTGGGGGAGGCCCACTACCCCTAGTTGAAGCTCGTGCCTTTGCCCCCTTAACCTTGGACTTTGCCCCAGCTTTGCCCCCCCAATCACCGACGGCTGGCGCCGCCACTGTATACACTAGCCTATTGTACATACGGTGAACATCAGGGTTAACTGGGGTACGGTATCCTGTTTAAATCATCTCCAGTGGACAGATTATAATAACACTCTAACTAAACGGTATAAATAATTCATGTATATTTAGACAATTACATATTTCAAATATAAGAATTGTTTTATAATAAAGAGGTATTGAATAATTCGTGATTAATAAGACAGAATACGTTGAATTTTTACATTGTTATTGTATTTATACCATCTTTAAAACTAAAACAATATGTTTAATATATTTTAGGTTGGGGATTAAACTACTTCAAGCTCAAACAGACGGAAATATACAGGGATTCGTAGAAACATTATCATTACAAGATAAGCAGCAAGCTTTAATTACATGTGCTAGAGAAGGGTTGTATGAAGTTATAATTTATATGTTAGAACACGGTATTGATTCACATTATATTAATCCCCATCAGAACAACCTGATACATCACCTTTTATATAACTATAACAGATATAAAAAACCAGATAGACGTGATTTGTTAATACAATGTCTAGATACATTAGTTGATGCTGGTGTAGATGTCAACCAGGAGAATAGACTTAAACGTACACCTATATTTATAGCTGCTGAACGAGGGTTGTATGAAGTTGTGATATATCTGTTAAAACACGGAGTAGATGTACATTATGTTGATGTTCGTCATAACAACCTGTTAAACATACTTTTATCTAACTTTGATAGTGATGACGAACCAGATAGACGTGATTTGTTATTACAATGTGTATTTAGATTAGTTGATCTTGGTGTAGATGTCAACCAGGAGAATGATGATAAACATACACCTATATTTATAGCTTCTATTTATGGGTTGTGTGAAGTTGTGATATATCTGTTAAAACACGGAGTAGATGTACATTATGTTGATTGTTTAAAACGCAACATTCTTCACCATGTTTTAGTTTTTTCGGATTCCCATGTTAAATTTGAAGAGAAGTGTATACCGGTCGTTAATACTTTAATAAAAACAGGAGTAGACATAAATCAACCTGACAATGATGGTAATACCCCGTTGTTCTATGTCGTTGGAATCTACGCGGGTAAACTTCTTGAATGGATCGAATTACAATCGAAACTAAAGACAGGACAGGACAGTCGTGGTCCACTGTATTTTAAATTGGTTAACATTTTATTAAAAGCTGGTTGTAATGTGAACCATCAAAATAAACTGGGACGAACGGCTTTAATGAGCTATATAAAATACCAAGCTGATATCAGTATATTAAAACTGTTAATTCCACATTCTGATCTAAGTTTAACTGATAATAAGGGTAAAACAGCAATTAGTTATAGTGTCCGATATCACATTATCAATTCTACAGCCGTCTTTAAACTTTTAGTAGATTCAGGTTCAGATCTGATGTCACGTGACAACGGAGTTAAGTTATTCCATGATATTTTAAAATGTAAGAGGTTGTGGGTGTTCAGTTATTACATCGGGCGTAAGTTGATTGTTAATGGTTTTACAATTGAAGGAGAAAATATGCTTCATCTTTTAGCTCGTTTAAACTATGATTATTCTGTAAGCAAGTTTAAATGGCTGTTAAATAACGAACTAGACATCAACCATCCCTGTTTTAATACCAACACACCTACTATGATAACATCCTTTTTATTAAACAGTAAATATTTAGAATTGTTGACACATCATCCCAGACTAGAGATCAATACACAAAATAACCAGGGTCATACAGCTCTACACCTTTGTATCATTGGATTTACTATGTTTAAAGATGGCTTGAACAAGAGACAGGTAAATGATGTTGTTAAGAATTATTGTAGACAGATATATCCAATATACATGGCTTGTATTGATATTTTGCTTGGTGTTGATGGAATTGATGTAAATATTCCCGATAATGGAGGTAGAACTAGTTTAATGATGGCTGCAATGAAAAACGACAGAGTTCTTACAAGGAAACTACTTCAAGCTGGTGCCATAGTTACCATGTTAGACTATTCAGGAAGATCTGCTCTACAATATCTTAATATTTATCAGAGTGTGTTTGATTTGACTTGTTTTAAATTACTTCTATCTAATGGTAGCACTGGTCTTCTCAATTTACCCTGTATCGATGGTAACACAATTATTCAAACAACCATGTGTTTTCCCTTTTTCTGGGAACCATACCATGTTGTTTGTTTTATGAGATATTTAGTTGCTGAAAACTGCTGTCTTCAGATTCTCGTACCATCATCACTTGAAAGTAGCTATAACCAAATTGATCTTACTGAGTTAAACCTTCAAGAAAGAGATAGGCTGAGAAAACTGTTGTATCTTAGTGGCGCCGAAGGGGAGGAAATTATGACTTCGTTAAATTTTGACGAGGAAGACAAAAGATATGAACGAACAGACATTATCCACTCACGAGACAGAGCAGAATTCGTTAGTTTCTGTAGTAATATATCTCTCAAGTCCCTGTGCAGAAGATTCATCAGACAGAATCTTGGATTGGGAATAAAGGAGAAGGTTAAGGATCTGGAATTGCCTCGCGAATTAAACGACTTTCTTCTATTGAAAGATGTTCTTCATCCTAAAGATTACAACATAGATAATATTGATGATGTTTGTAATGATTTTGATGATGATGATGATTATGATGGTTATGATATAGATAAAGATAGAGATGATGATTATAGTCAATATAACTACCAGTATTTTACTCTCAATACGGATCATGAACTAAGACAAGATTTCCTAGAAAACAACCCACTTCCTAATGGTGGTAGTGATGATGATGATAGTGATGATGATTTCATAAACAGGATATTTCCTAATGGTAGTAGTGCTGATGATGATGATGATGATGATTTCATAAACAGGATATTTCCTAATGGTAGTAGTGCTGTTTATAGTGATGTTTATTTAATATAAGGACGTTGATTATAAGAAAGATATAGTGAACTGGTCATTGTTCTAAAGACGATAAAAACTGGATATGGTAGAAACAAGCGAACACCACCTGTAATCTTGATATGATAGAAACAAGCTGGCAACACCTGTAATCTTGATATGGTAAAAACAAGCGAGCTCTACCTGTAATCTTGATATGGTAGAAACAAGCGAGCATCACCTGCAGCTTGATATAGTAGCCGGGGCGGATCCAGAGGGGGTGGGGAGAGTTGTGACCCCCCCCCCTCCTGCTCAGCTACATAATTTTTTTGTAAATCAACCCTTTTTATGAGAAGTTTCTAGACCGTGTGCTTTATCCTTTATCGTCAGATGTGGGACAGGATGGGCACGCAAAGCACGAGATAATGATAAAGACATTATGTGATATCACAATTAATGCTTTGCATCCATGAAATTGAATCACAATGTCATTGTATTAATTCATAATAAAAATTGACGCCAAACGAGGTTTTGAATTTCTCTGTTTAAAAAGCTCAATGTGTATGTATATACGCCACAATGACGATAGAGACCATGCGGGAGGGGGGGGGGGAATACATTGTCTCAGGAACCTGGCAAACCCCCTCCTGCAAAACTTCCTGGATCCGCCCCTGGGTAGAAACAATCGAGCACTACCTGTAATCTGACTGAATCTCAACTCGTAGATTATCTAGTAGTAAAGCATGGATGGATTAAGCACTATATAAATGTACATCATTATTATTATTATAACAATATATTAAATCTGACTATCTGTACAGGTGTGTCTACCTGTCTATCTACTGTTCTATTGCTCTCTTCTTCTTAGCTCGTATGAGTGACCCCGCACCCCCTCCCCCTTCATGCACTTGTATGAGTGCCCCCCACGGTTTGTATGATTGAGTGATGTAATGTAGCCATATTACTGTGTGTTTTTGTTTTATTGTAAAACCCACAGTTGTTCAGATAAATATGTGATAAAATTGTGTAAATATAAAAACATAAAATCATTTGATGTAAAAAAGAAAAGAAAATATATTGTACCAAAAATATGTAAAAAAAAAACAACAAGACTTTGTTTTGTATATCAACAGTGGGTAAGAAGTGTAAAATTAGTTTTGTCCAGACAAAAGGGGTTCTAACCATGGTATTTGGTACCATTATATCGACTGGATACTCCGTCCTGTATCACTAACAGACAGTAGGGGTTCTAGCCATGGTATTTTGTACAATCCTATCGACTTGGATACTCCGTCCTGCACCACTAACAAAGGGAAACCACCCTGAGAAATCCAGATGAACTTTCGTGGAATGTTAGGCCCTAATTAGTGTTTTGATCATGTTAGGGTCTCATCACACGATGATTTCCAGTCATCAGTCTTAATGGGTCAACCGGTCTGCCTGCGGTTTGGTCTAAACATTAAGGTCAACTGCAGATTTGGTCAAAGGCCACGAGATGTAAACAGGCTAGTGCTAATCCTACCCTAGCTCACAATCTCGTCAGCAATCACATGCCCTTGATGAAATCTGCAGTTGGCTCTAAAATTCAAACTTCACCATCTACCTGCACAATTTCCGAGAAGAAAATCAAGAATCCCCCCAAGAATTTATCAAGGAATGCAAGCATATCTTCTCAATACCACTGTTTATTGGTCTTTGAGAAATTCATGTTTTCCGTCTACAATAGAATTATGACTGCCAGAGTTATGTCTTTGAACTATGACCCTTTTCCTCATGCACGTGATGTGTAGAGTGTAATCCTCAACAGTTTGAACTTTGAACTATGACCCTTTTCCCCATACACGTGATGTGTAGAGTGTAATCGTCAACAGTTTGAAGTTTGAACTATGACCTCCTCCCCATAAACGTGATGTGTAGCGTGTAATCCTCAACAGTTTGAAGGATGAACTATGATCCCCTCCCAATACACGCGATATGTAGGGTGTAAAGCTCAATGATTTGAACTTTGAACCTCTTCCCATACAAATAAGTGTAAGGTGTAAACTTCAACAGTTTGAAGGATGAACTATGGCCCCCTCCCCATGTACGTGTTTTGTAGGGTGTGATTTTGCTTTTGATATGACACAACAATTTTATGTTTGGAAACAAAGCATTCAAGGTAATATTTGAGAACGTCGCCAAATTTTAACACTTGCGTACAAATAAATAGACCGTGGAACTGAGTGAGTGGTTTAAACGACATCACGGATAGAACATACTAAATGAATAGACCGTGGAACTGGGTGAGCGGTTTAAACGACATCACGGATAGAACATGTTAAATTAAATTGTGATAATTATTCAATCATGAACCAATATTTTATTACTCCGTCAGCTAATCGAGATCTAGTTACTTTTGTAACGATTTCTTATCTGTCGGCAGCGGCGATCACCGGCGCAAGATGGTGAACATGTCAACGAGATAAAATTCACGTTAGTTAGGAATGCCATTAAACACGAATATTAAAGCGTTAAAATTAAACCAAATGCTTTAAAGTTGAATTAACCAAATGTTCACATGTCATTTATTTATTTATTTTTTTCGGTAATGCTACAAATAATTTTCTGTATTTTTTTGCAGTCACGTACT